TGAAAAAAAATTAGACCCGGACGGTGCAACTGTCGGCTTAGTTTCGGAAGACATCATAAGCTAATTCTATGGAACAGTCAGCTTGTTGGAAAGATAGGTAAAATTGAGCAGTAGGCAATCTTCTTGGAGCATATGGTCCTCTTTTCTGGTTGTGGAATTTGCGTATCAAACTGCGCATGCGCATCTTATATCCATTATGGCGGCAATAAGCTCCTCTTATGTACTGAATTATACATTCATTATTGTGAAATAATTTTTACAATGTTCTACTCACTTGTAGTTCCATCCTCAGAACTCTTTTGAGCTATTGAATTACATTAATGCACAATACCTGAATTAAATTGTAAAATGCTAGTCAAGTCTGACCACACCTCAGAACTCTTTGTAGGCTCTATTGAATTACATTCATAAGTATTTTAGATAATTCTTTTGTAAAAATCATTATTAATTTCATTATGCATTGCTAGAGCTTTGAACTTTAAAGGAATAGATAGATCTAACAATCTAACACTATGCATGTGCATTACTGAATCATTTGGCCCAGATAACTTCAGCGGGCTTGAAAAAGTGGTACTGATACAGTACTAGATCTACCATAGATTTGCACACTCAGTATGTTGTCACAATCATCATAAATTATAAGTAACACTCAAGCCAGATCTTACATAGTATCATCTATGCATACACCTACAGACTGGCTAAGGACCACACACCACAGAGTTTATAAAAGTTATATATAAAACCGGCCCCTTGAAACCCCCCTTTTAATTTTTGACTACTCCTTATATTTGGATCAAAGTATTACTTTATTTTACCAGCATGCAAATTATGGATGGAAGATTTGGTTTGCCAGAATTTATTTGCAAACAAACAATTCCTTCCTTGGCTATACTTTTAGAGATTAACTGGGAAAGCTACAAACTAGAATCTTGATCTATACTATAGGCATGGCACACTTATAGTTTTTAATACCTTAATTTAGGAAAAAAATATTATTATAATTGCAATGAAATAATGTAAGCATAACTAACTGCACATAAAAACCTGTCAAAATGGCAACTACCCGGTATAGAATACTTTTGATTGAGTAGATACTGTTTCTAGTCTTTTTTATCTTCACTGCTTGAAAAGGCAGTTTTTATCCACTTCACAAAGCCACGTACAACTTTGTAAGACCAATACGTGTTCAGTAGATCCAAAATGCCCATCATCACATATGCAAACCATTTTGAAGCTGATGGAAAGTAAGTATTCATCCCTGTCTCTTCCAATTCAATCAAGTAGACTAGGAGCCACATTGCTGGCACTGCCAATACACGAAAGAGTAAGAATGTAGTGGTCATACCAATTGCAGTAAAGACTGAAAGTGGGGAATTTTTCGACTCGTTTGTTTCGGCTAGAATCCACCGAAGGTGCACAAAGGGAGTAGATATTTCTGTTGAGACTCTTGCAAGTACGAGTATCATCCATCTTCCTTCATAGAGGAGAATCAGGAGGATAGAAAACAGACTTGCAGCGTGGTGCAATAAGGTTTTGATATCACGTAAAGGTTTCTGGCCAAGATATACCATCATATCGCCAAAGAAAAACCCAGCAGAGATCTGCATTGTAATGAAACCAATGGGGGACTTAGATTCTGCTAAACTCTCCCAAATGCTAACAGAGCCAGTCAATAGAGCTATGAATATTAGAGTGCATACTATTATAGTATGTAGTATAGCACCAGGTATTATGTTAAAGCGAACTTTCTTGTCATAGCTAAACTTCTTCCTGTAGGCCTTTATTCGATAGCTCAGTAGTGGAACGATGAATAGAGACAAAGAGATAGTCGCTATTGCAGAGAGTAATGTAGGGAGAGTAAGGACGTAAGTTAGACTAACAGGAGCAGCTTGTAAAGTCGAGTGTAAAGTAGCCATTGATTCCCAATAATTCCCATGATCATAGACTAGACTACTTGGGCTCCACCCTCGAGTTTATTTATGAAAATAATACAACCAAGTACATTTGTTTAGCTGGCAGCAAGTACTTTTTTCATAATACTAATAGCAAAACTAATTGAAATACTTTAAAGTCAATCTATTTTGTGGTTGAGTTTTTTTATCAGCTTAGCTATATGTGTCAGTCAATGACCTAAAAACCAAATCCTTCATCTTTTAAAAATGAAATTAATCTATACTTTGTTTTTATATTATTGGTGGCATCTTCAACACTAACATCAGTCCAAGACGTAAATGTTATGCTATAGACTTTGTTTGGATTCATTAAAAACCCATTATCACTAACAGTACAATCAAGAAGTATAGAATTAACAAAATAATTTGTAAAAGAGAATCTCACCTAAAATATCCTTCCAATGCTCCACTATCCAACATCACATAAACTGCAGTTGCATCAGATTGGAGACTAAACTATTATTACCAAGAAAGTATTACAATAAAGCCTCAACTATACATTGACAATGATTCTTATAAACTTACTGATACTTCATTTGAAGATAAGGACGTCATATTACTGACTGTTATTTTAGCTTGAGGAAGATTAGCTTTTGTGAAAATTCCAGGGAAGAAATCAGTTGAAGCAAGAATCTTGTTATCTGAACCATCTGCAGCAATTATAATAACATTTATTTTTAGTTAAAAAACTGAGCATAACCTTCAGTTATCCAAATATGTAGATAAGCATCATTTACTGTAACACTTCCTTAAAATATATCACTAATCTTGTATTCAGCTACTTGTGTTCCTGTAAATCCCTCAGATTGTAAGTTTGGTACACTTTTCTGAGATACTGTTTTACCCTATACACCATACCCAATCAATAGTACATAGCTATTGAGTGTTGTACTGTCTTACATCCCAAGATATGATGTCAACTGATAAAGAATATTTAATAGACATCTGTGGATCATCAACAATCACATAGATTCCTATTGAGCCATTCAACTGATATGCTGACACTGAGACATCAGAATAAATCTTGAGAATAAAATAATGAAAATAAATGAATAATCATGCACTATAATAATCAAGTATACTTTTTTCATTGCATAATGCAGTAGCTTCCATCTTCCAGCATATTCAATAGAAGCCCAGGTTTGTGCCTGCCAGATATCATTCTACATCAATGACCATCACATTCAATACTTTTATATAATAACTGATACTCACTAGTTGCCAGTACAGTGTACCACGAGTGTATGCCCCAGCTTCACTCAGTAACCTGTGATAATGCTCAGCCTCTGATCCTATGCATATAACTTGAACAACTTGAGATAAGTAGATGAAATCTTTAAACTGTTCAACTGAATCAGTACTATAAAGCAACAAGGCTAAGTAATTGTGAAAATAATACAATGATATTTCACTTGTTTGGTAAATGAAAGAATTTAGCCATCATGTTCTGCATTTGCTTATTACCATCAGTATGATGTTGTCTGTGATCAGCAAAGAATGGCGAGTCATTGCTCCAATCCTATAACCAACAGAAAGTAAACACTACTAGTATGACCATGGCTGGTACCATTGTAAACTTACACTACTGGTTGAGATCTTTGAGAGCGAGTAAAATGAAGGATAGCTTTGAAAACCAAACTCACTCGCAAATCGAGGTCGAGGGAATTTAGTTACATCATTGCAAGTACTAGAGTAATCATACCTAAAAGAAAAGGACTAGTTCATTCTGTTGCTATTGAGTATACAGTCAATATTGTAGACTAATGATATACCTATGAATGTCTCCCATGGTAGAATTCTGAGGGTCTCCCCAGCGTTCAACATAGACACCCATTTCAGGGACATCAAATTCAGCACCATTTGATGGACTGGCAGGCCAATAGCTTCGTGTGGTGTCCTAAAGTCAGAGTAAAAGGGAATTAAGTCTTGAGAACTATAACTTGCTGAATGAGATTTTTTATCACATTTTAATGTATATGCATGTACTTATTTTGTGTATATAGCTTGAGCTCATTACAAATCAAAATTTCCCTTTTAGAGTTCTTCAATTAGAGTTCTTCAAAAATTGGGCCAAAGTACAGGGTCGTAGGCCAAATTTTGTCAAGTAGAGAATTCTCAATTTTTATAATGTTTTCTGGTACATATACATGTTCTTATGCTGTGTAGAAAGTTTGAGTCGATTCCAATCAAGTTTGGACATTTTCCGGGTCTTTAAATTTGTTCAAAAATTGCGCCAAAGTCCCTGTACTATAGTACAGGGTCGTTGGCCAAATTTCATCAAAAATGAAAAGTAGAAAATTTTACATTTTTATAATTTTTCTTAATACATATACATGTTCTTATGCTGTGTAGAAAGTTTGAGCTGATTCTAATCAAAATTGAATTTTTTACAAAATTTTTAAACTTGCAAGTCCCTGTACTATACAGAGTATTATAATGTGCATACCTCTTCCCAAAGAGTTGCTCTAATGGTAAAGTCATAAAGGGCAACATAATCAACAAGTGTCTGAGTATTTTTAAGACCACCAGCCTATTTTATTAAAATAAAACTTTAATTTTTAGTGCACACATAAATTATAATTGTAACCTCATTCTCATTGTTCCCACTCCACAGCACAATGCTAGGATGATACCCTAACCTCCTAACATTATCAATCACTTCTTCTCTTACATTCTCTAGAAAATCCTAAATAATTAACATAGCAATAAAGCATGCACTATAAGAAGAGGATATGACTAACCCTGTCCCTGGGGTATTGTGCATCACCAAACATGAACTCCTGCCACACCATGACTCCATACTCATCACACAGGTCATAAAACCAATCAGGTTGATACAGTCCACCTCCCCTAATATAATATATTAACATTCAATAATTCAAAGTATTATTTTTCTACATTCTTACCAAACTCTGATCATATTTTGATTTCCTTCAGCCGCTGACTTGATCAAATGTTCAGCAACTTCAGGTGTTGCTCTGGTGACAAAGGCATCCATTGGAATAAAGTTTGAGCCTTTAGCATAAATAGGATACTTTCCATCTATTAAAGAACATTAATTGTAGAGTGCTACTTGCTTTTACTAGTGTTTACTTGAGTCTGTTTGTTGGAAGTAAAATAAAAATCCTGTTTCTTTATTTGGTGGCTGCTCGTTAGAAATGACTTTAATATTTCTAAAGCCAACCTTTCTCATTTGATTAACACTGAATAGTTCCTTGCCATCCTACAATACAGAAAATAATGAATACAAACCAAAGCATTCACTAATTAAATACCTTCATTATAGTGACTGATACTGTTGCTTGGTATAGCTGTGGTTTAGGATTACTTGAGCTGTGTGGTTTCCACAGGTAATTATCCATATCTGATGATTTAACAGTATAAGAGAAGAACCTAGCACATTGCTTTACACCAGGAGAATTAGGAAAATTAAAAGGCTACAGGAAATAAAATAATAATAAATAGAAGTAAAACAACCACATACATCTGCTTTAAATTCCTTGGAAAATGGTGTATTGTCCACTGCAATACTAGTCTGCATAGAATACTGTCCTGCACAAATACTTAAAGAAATTAGTTTAAATCTACTTATGTACCTTCAACCAGTTGAATGTAGCAAACCAGTGCCTCCATATAGTAAGTCTCATCTGTTTCATTACAATGAGGTTTTGGGACAATTTCAGTTACGTATACATCACTAGCAGTCACATAACTAAGTTAATAAATAAAATAATGTGCATGCTGTAATTAATACCAAAAGTATTTTCACCTGATGTTTTTCCATATTCCAGCAGGAACAAATGCTGGGCCCCAATCCCACCCAAAATCTACAACAGAACATGAAATCGGCTAATAATTATTAAATAAAATATTCATACCAGACTGAGTTTTACGAATAAAGTTCCTTGCAGCTCCAGAGAAATAGCGACCTTTATACATTAAAAAAATTATATTTGTACCGTATTTTAAACTATACTGACCATTTCCAGACACATCATATGGATATGCATTTTTCCTTGCAATAGAATAATTTGCAGCAGACTACATAAAACTCATTAGCACACACAGTATAGCAATATAAAATGATGCATACCTGAATGTACACTTGCAATGAATTTGTTCCTGTTTTCACTGCATCCTAAAAAATAAATGAATTTAGGATTTAGTAGCATTTTTATGCATGCTTATAAAAAGGACAATTCCATTTCACTCACAGTCATGTTGAATAGCCATCTTCTATGGAAGCTATTAGCACTACCTATCATCATCCCATTAACCCTGTCCAGTAAATAGGGCATAATTATTATACACAATAGTGTATGTATGCAATGTTAAAGGAGGCATGGTTTGTTTTATATCTTAAAGCTAACTTTAAAGTAGCTGCAGTATCCAGTCCATCACACTTCATAAACAATTGGCGATTGTTGATATCAGCATCAGTCAAATCAAATGTTGCTTCATATATCCAATCACTGTAGGCTATCCATTGATATTTATCATCATTCTCACCAACTACATGAATATAAAACAGAAATGAGAGAATCAAATCTTAGTGTACTTACAATAAGGATCATCAATGACTTTATGAGCCCTACAGTAGTATAAGAGGTCATAATAAGCTATTAATTATTACAAACTCACAGTAGGTCAAGATGGACTATTCCAGGGACTGTGGCTGGAAGACCTTTGACCTTTCCAGCAGAATCTGATAGCTGCCAGTTCTCTCCATCTAGTGATCTCTCAATCTGGTCTGCTTTTGAGTACTGGAGAGCTGACAGAAGCAAGAGAGAACAGCCTAAGAGGAACTGCATCATGTAGCTGACCATTGTGCCTAGCCACACCTTGCGTGGGCGTTTACCTAAATTCACCTTTCACACCTTGACAAGATGGTGCGGTCTGTTCTGCTTCTTTTTCTCTTCGTTGCTGTGTCTTTTCGTCTCGTGTTTGGAGACGCCAGCATTACTTCGGACCTTCTCTGGCCCCATCCTTCTCAGTCTACATTTGGTACCGATGTCTATGAGGTAGACTCGGGAAATTTTGCCTTTACAACCGATGGAGCTGGAGGTGCTAGCATTCTCCTCAAATCAGCCATAGACAGGTACTATGTGACTATATTCCAGACTGCTGCTCCTTTCTTTCCTTCTGGTGGAGCCACTCAACCAAAGGGACCTCTGACAGGACTTAAAGTGACTGTTAACAACGCGGATGAGTCACTGAATCTAACCACAGATGAATCTTGTAAGTTTATAAACATTAAAATTTTAGAATTAATTTTTTTACATAAAAAAATTAATGTTGATTGTGTGGCAAGTTGCAGTGTGCTTGTAAGATTATTCAGTTTCAGTGTTTGGCTTTAGAAGTTTCAATATTGCAAACAGCTATCAGCAAGCATTTATATCTTTTTTTTGAATAGATACTTTGACTGTTGCTGCTGATGGTGCAGCCATAACAGCTACTACTGTATTTGGAGCAATGAGAGGTGAGGAATATAGTATAGAGCCAGTATTCAGTGATTGTTTGACTTTGTAGGACTTGAAACTTTTAGCCAGCTTATTTATCACATGCCAAATGGAGGAGTAAGTACTAATGTTAATCTGCTAATATTTTATTACACCATCTTATTATCATTGTTGTTCTAGCTTGCTATAAATCAAGTGACAAGTATCACTGACAAACCAAGGTTTCAATATCGTGGGATTATGATTGACACCTCCAGACACTTCCTTAATCTCCACACAATACTAACTCATCTTGATGCAATGGTATACAGCAAGTTTAATATACTCCATTGGCATATTGTGGATGATCAGTCCTTTCCTTATGAATCATACACCTTTCCTGACCTAGCTGCTAAGGTATGGCATTAATGGAGGCTGCTTCTAGTTTTTGCATGTGATCTAACACAAGCTCTAAAACTAACATTATTGGCATATTTTGGTTATTTTTCTAGGGAGCATATGATCATGAGCACATTTATACACAAGAAGATGTGAAGACTGTTATTAATTATGCTTATGAACGAGGCATAAGAGTTATACCTGAATTCGATACTCCAGTAAGCTATGATTGATAATCATCATTCACTTTTTGGGTATCCTACCAAATACGGCTATAATCTAATTGACCTTCTCTGTCATTTCTAGGGTCATACTCAGTCGTGGGGTGCTGGACAGGCAAACCTATTGACTCCTTGCAGTGGAGGGTAAAGCTATGCAACATTTGTTTCATGCAACACAGTTTATACAGGAGTCAATGGAGCTCACATGTTGCATGAAATAGAACTGTTTCCTATTTCATGCAGTAATGTTGCAAGACCCATTGACTCCTGTATAAACTGTGCTACATAGTGCATGCTGGATTTAAGGGATATATCATAAATAATTCATGTATTGCATGTGTGAATATGCTTATGTATTGTGTATGAGTCTGACTGTAAAGGCTGGCTAAACTTGTTTAATCATATTCATTTGCATGAACTATAGTGATAATTAATTTTACTTCTTTGACCTTCTTTATTGTAATATCTGCACCATTGTGTAGTGGGTTTGGTCCGATTGATCCAATTCTAAATACTACATGGACATTCTTGAGTTCATTCTATGAGGAAATTAGTAAAGTTTTCCCTGACGATTACATTCATTTGGGAGGAGACGAGGTCTCTTTTGGTTGCTGGTAAGTATAGATCACTATATTAATAGTATTTATTAGTTATTTTTATTTGTAGGCAGGGTAATGCTGATATACAAGCATGGATGAAGAAAATGGGATACACTGATTATGCTAAACTTGAGGAATATTATGAAAACAAGTGAGAACCATTAGCATTGAATGAATGATTGTATTTCTATTGCAATTCCCACAGTTTGATTGATTTGATCAATAAACTGAATAAGAGTTATGTTGTGTGGCAAGAAATATTTGACAACGGACTGAAGGTATAATTAGGATTGGTTTTTATGGTTACTATTTTTAATGTTTTACAGATCAAAATGGATACAGTTATTGATGTATGGAAAGGAGGATGGCAAAAAGAAATGGATGCTGTAACTAAAGCTGGTTACAACGTTATCCTATCAACCTGTTGGTATCTGAACTACATCAGCTATGGAGAAGACTGGAAAAATGTAAGCTTTATAATGGCTACAAAAATTTTCACACTGTAACTTGTGACCATAAAATTTATGGTAGTATACTTGTATCTAAATCTTTTTAAAATGCAATTAATTTTAATGATGACAAAATTCTGTCTCTCTTATAGTATTATGGTTGTGATCCTCAAGCTTTCAATGGTTGGTCTCATTGCACTTGTGTGTCATCTATATGATTTACTACATTTTTAGGTACTGATGAACAGAATTCTAAAGTTGTTGGTGGTCATGCCTGCATGTGGGCAGAACTTGTTGATTCGTCAAATTTTATGCCAAGAATGTGGTAAGTAAAATAAATTGATTAACTGTATTTCATGTTTGCATTATCGATATTAATTGTCATACTAACTTGATGCATAACTGTGTGTTTATTCATTCTTTCAGGCCAAGAGCATGTGCAGTGGGTGAGAGGTTATGGAGTCCAAAGACAGTCACTGATGTCAATGATGCAAGGACTAGACTATTGAATCATCGCTGCAGACTACTGACGTTAGTAATAATAATAACGAATAATTGTTTCCATTTCTTTTTTCCATTTATAGTCGTGGTATTCGTGCTGAGCCACTTGGTCCCAGTTATTGCAATGATGAGTGGCATGGACCTTGAAACAATTGATGAACAGTTAACTGCTAATCATTGTCTTTTCGTCTTTGTCTACCCTTGCTTCCCAATATAGATCAATTATGTACATGCACATGCTGGTATAGCTACAAACTATTTTAATTAAAATTTTTTTAATGTTTTAGAGGTTTAATTAAATTATAGCATGCTTTAAAACCACGACAAAAAATGGCTCTATTTCTCTTGTTCTTTCTCTTTGCTGTTTCTCTTCGTCTCGTGTTTGGTGACTCCAGCACTACTTCAGACCTTCTCTGGCCCCAACCCTCTCAGCCTAAATTTGGTACTGAGGTCTATGAGGTAGACTCTGGAAATTTTGTTTTTAATACCACCAGTGCTAGCACTCTCCTTAAATCAGCCATGGACAGGTACTATGTGATCATATTCCAGTCTCCTGCTCCTTTCTTTCCTTCTGGTGGAGCCACCCAACCAAAGGGACCTCTAACAACACTTTATATAACTGTGCACAGTACAGATGAATCTCTGAATCTGAATACTGATGAATCATGTAAGCATTAAGCGAACTAGCAAGTCATAGATACTATAGTAAAAGATTATGCTTCTCTTATATTGTGTAGATTATTTAAATGTTGGTGGTAATGGTGCATCCATAACAGCTACTACTGTGTTTGGAGCAATGAGAGGTGAAGAAAATTCAGAGTGTGTATTTTATTGTTTCAGTGATTTTGCAGGACTTGAAACTTTTAGTCAACTCATTTATCACAGGCCAGATGGAGGAGTAAGATTTATAGTGTCAGAAACTTCACATATTATTTCTTGTTCTAGCTGGCTATAAACGAAGTGACGGGAATCTATGACAAACCAAGGTTTCAATATCGTGGGATATTGATTGACACCTCCAGACACTTCGTTAATCTCCACACAATACTAACTCATCTTGATGCAATGGTGTACAGCAAGTTTAATATACTCCATTGGCATATTGTGGATGATCCTTCTTTTCCTTATGAATCATACACCTTTCCTGACCTAGCTGCTAAGGTATGGAAATATAGCAATTTTGAAGATTGTGGAAAATGAAAGAAAGGTTGTAAGATTTTATTTTTTTTGTAGGGAGCATTTGATCATGAGCACATTTATACACAAGAAGATGTGAAGACTGTTATTAATTATGCTTATGAACGTGGCATAAGAGTTATACCTGAATTCGATACTCCAGTAAGATATGATTGATAATCATCACTCACTTATATCATTTTTCTTAATGACAGGGTCATACTCAGTCTTGGGGTGCTGGACAGCCTGATCTATTGACTCCTTGTTATGCCAATGGCCAACCAAATGGGTGAATGGAGCATTTATTTTGTATTACTATAATAAGTTTGTGGGTGATATTGAGCTATTGTATTAATTCAATAGTGATTATTCCAGTTGACATTATCATTCTTTTATTAGTGAATATGGTCCTGTTAATCCAATCCTAAATTCTACTTGGACATTCTTGACTTCTCTTTATCAGGAAATTGATAACGTTTTCCCTGACAATTACATCCATTTGGGAGGAGATGAAGTCTCATTCACTTGCTGGTAAGTATGTTGCTAACATTAGTTAGTTCTGTTTGTCTCCATTATTATTATAGGCAGGGTAATCCTGATATACAAGCATGGATGAAGAAAATGGGGTACACTGATTATGCTAAACTTGAGGAATATTATGAAAACAAGTGAGAACCATTAGCATTGAATGAATGATTGTATTTCTATTGCAATTCCCACAGTTTGATTGATTTGGTCAATAAACTGAATAAGAGTTATGTTGTGTGGCAAGAAATATTTGACAATGGACTAAAGGTATATTAGTACTGGCTTTATGATAATTTATCATTTTTATGTTTTATAGATCAAAATGGATACAGTTATTGATGTGTGGAAGACAGGCTGGGAGAAAGAAATGGATGCAGTAACTAAAGCTGGTTATAAAGTTATCCTATCAACCTGTTGGTATCTGAACCGCATTAGTTATGGAGAAGACTGGAAAGATGTAAGTAATACATGTTCTTGTGCTGCATAGAATATTGAGATGATTTTGATTGAAATTGAATTTTTTACACATGTTAAAGTTGCTCAAAAATCAGGCCAAAGTCCTAGTACATGTATTACAATTTGGCCAAATTTTGCCAAAAATGAAAAGAAGAGATTTCTTCATTTTTATTACATTTCCTGATGCATATACATGTTCTTATGTTGTGTAGAAAGTTTGAGCTGATTCCAATCAAATTTGGATTTTTTTACGAATTTTTAAAGTTGCTCAAAAATCAGGTTAAGATCCCTGTACTATAGTACAGGGATTTTGGCCAAATTTTGCCAATATTTAAAAGGAGTAAATTCTCCATTTTTATTACATTTCCTGATGCATATACATGATCTTATGTTGTGTAGAAAGTTTGAGCTGATTCCAATCAAAATTAGTTTTTTACAAATTTTTAAAGTTGCTCAAAAATTGGACAAAAGTCCCTGTACTATAGTACAGAAATTTCGGCCAAATTTTGCCAAAAATGAAAAGGAGAGAATTTTTCATTTTTATTACATTTCCTGATACATATACATGGTCTTATGTTGTGTAGAAAGTTTGAGCTGATTCCGATCAAAATTAGATTTTTTATGAATTTTTAAAGTTGCTCAAAAATTGGGTCAAAGATCCTAAGTGAAGGTATTATGTCTTTATTTCTTTTCTTTCCTTACAGTATTACAGTTGTGACCCTCAAAATTTTAATGGTTAGTCCCTATTCATATTATTATTAATAATAATGACATCCCTATTCTAATATTATGAATATGCTTCAAGTTTGTGTGTTTATTTAACAGGTACTGATGATCAAAACTCTCTAGTAGTCGGTGGCCATTCTTGCCTCTGGGGAGAACTTATTGATTCTACTAACTTTATGTCAAGAATGTGGTAAGTTGATTGTTCAGGAAATCATGTATATCCAGCTTAAACTACACTTTACGTTAATTCTTAATCTATTTTTATCTTGTGTGTTCATTCATTCAGGCCAAGAGCATGTGCAGTGGGTGAGAGGTTATGGAGTCCAAAGACAGTCACTGATGTCAATGATGCAAGGACTAGGTTGTTGAATCAACGCTGCAGACTACTGACGTTAGTAATAATAATAATGATAGAAAATTTTCTTTTCCATTTATAGTCGTGGTATTCAGGCTGAACCAGTTGGTCCCAGTTATTGCAATGACGAGTGGCATGGACCTTGAAGCAATTATTGATGAACAACTGCTAATCATTCTCTTTTTGTCTATGTACCTGTAGCCAATTATAAGCTTTTTTAAAATGTTTGGTTTAATTAAAATAATTATAGCATGCTTCACTAAACCACGACAAAATGGCTCGATTTCTCTTGGTCTTTCTCTTTGCTGTTTCTCTTCGTCTCGTGTTTGGTGACTCCAGCACTACTTCAGACCTTCTCTGGCCCCAACCCTCTCAGTCTACATTTGGTACTGAGGTCTATGAGGTAGACTCGGGAAATTTTGTCTTTAATACCACCAGTGCTAGCACTCTCCTCAAATCAGCCATGGACAGGTACTATGTGATCATATTCCAGACTGCTGCTCCTTTCTTTCCTTCTGGTGGAGCCACTCAACCAAAGGGACCTCTAACAGGACTTGATATAACTGTGACAAGCACAGA